AAACGATATTACGGCTGCTCAATTGTCCCGTCATTTGTGTCGTTCGTTCGCAAAATTATTCAATGTGGTGTACGGTGCACGGTTGCGCTCTCTAGAGAGGGCTTGAATACATGAAAGCAGCAAGACGGGGTTCGACTCCCCGCATCCCCATATTGCTCTTGTCATCGATTTTTTCTCTCGTGCTCCGGAAAGTCTTACATCTATGCAAGCGAGAATAATGGGGAGGAAGGGGATGCGGTGTACGGTGCACTGCTGCTCTAACTGCCGCCGCAAGGGATAGCCTGAAAGCAGCAAGGCGGGTGTTCACTCCCTGCATCCCCATGATTGCTTCATGATTGAGCCCCTTTTCTTCGGTACACCTGAAAGTCTCTAGTATATCCAGGGAGAAAGGGAGGGATGAGAAGGCACGTAGTGCACGGTGCACATCTGCTCGCCTTGCGCCGCCGTCACTCCTCCTCGATCGTAGCAGTATGTTGGGGTTCGACTCCCCGCGTCCCTGTTAGATTCCCTTCATGGTCTTTTTCCTCCGGCGCTCGTCGAAGTCTCGCATATATCCAGGTTCAGATTGGGAGGATGGGAAGGGGACGTGGTGCACGGTGCACCGCTGCTAGTCTTATGGGCAGCGGAAATAGATGAAGCAGCAGGAGGGGTTCGACTCCCCGCGTCCCCATTCTTCTTCGAGATACCTCTTTTTTTCTCTGGCTCTCCTGAAAGTCGCGGATATATTTGAGTGCAAATGGAGGGAGGGAAAGGGACGTGATGTACGGCACACCCCTGCTTGTCATAAGGCAGAATGAAATAGTTGAGGCAGTGAGACGGGGTTCGACTCCCCGCGTCCCCATTACTTCTCGCTTCGGTTTCTTCTTCTTCTTTTTCTTCTTTCGGGAGGCACCGCTGTAATTTCTCGGTGGTGGGAAGGCACGAAGAGCAGCTCATTGCTTTTCGTACCACCGGGAAAGTGATCCAGAATTAGAGCAGGCTGCCAGGTGTGGTTCAATTATTCATTGGGTTGAACTATTATCTGAGACTGTGTACTCGGCCACCTTAGCACTTTTGACCTCGGGCCCGTACATAACGTGGAATGGATACATGTCTGTGGGCCCTGAGACCATGGTATGCATCCTCGGAGTAAGCTTACATTTTCCCCCAGAATTTAGATGATGATTTCATGGCTTGCGGAATTTATTTTGCGGCGGTACCCCAAAATAACCAGAAACAGGCTAGTCGGCCACCCCCTTAAATTGTTAGTTGGCGGACATACTAGTCACCCTAATGCATACCAAATAGTTAAGGGGGTATAAGTACACTATTCTGTAAAGACCAACTGTACACCTGAGAAATATGGGGACCATAATTATTTCTCTTTGCCGGCTTCGGAGGTGGCTGAAATGACGCTGTTCACTGAATGGCTTGCCGTACAATGCACAGACCGCACGGACACCTTAAATTACGGCCTAGATGACTCCATAGGATGTATATGAACATATCTAATCGCAGAAGAAGTGTTCCACATACCCGTAACCCGCCCAAAAAATCCATCTTTATGCCCGACTGAAATTTGGCAGTGTTCGGTAAAAGCCGGTGGTGCCCTGGACGTTGGGCAGTTAAAAGTTTGCGGTAATGGGAGGATCTACGGGTGCCGGTCCTCAATACAATAACCAAGTTCTATGTCCGTGGAATGTACGGATGGTTCACTATACTGGTGGGGAGATTGTGCCACCTGGGGTCGGCTGGTGATCTTCTTGGAGGGTTATGGATATGATAGAGAGAACTTGTCGTGCATAAAATAGCCCATCGTCGTCCGGATGAACATAAGGATCAAAAGAGCCCCCAAACTTGTAAATTCGTGAGGAATTGGTGGAGAAACATGCGAAAAACACAAGAAAAACAAGTGCGAAGGCGAAGAAATGATGGTGACACGCCGGTATCTTGATTGAAAACCTCCCACAGCTTTTTGATCGCCGAACTTCCGTGCCTCCAAATTTGACATACTGAATGCCCATATGTAGGTCCTATTCGATCCCTCACTCACGAAAACTCAGAATTCTGAGACGCAAGACCTTCTATTAAGCAAGTGGCCGACTACCTAGTGTGGCCGGGAAGGCAGTCGCAGATAATAACTTTTCTGCGATGGCTTGATTTGAAATCTCTGATATATACAGGTCGGAATGGGAGGAGATATGGGGACGTGGTGTACGGTGCACGGCTGCTCTCGCTATCAATGTCATGTATAAAGTTGAAGGCAGCAAGACGGGGTTCGACTCCCCGCGTCCTCATGTTGTATTCATTCCTAACGCCTTTTTTACATTTTCTTTTCTGTTGCTTTGTTCGATTGTAAGAGCCTTTTTTTCGTTTCTTGCAATCTTCAATAGATCCTCTTCTTCGTCTTTTCAATACGTGGATTTCGGGCCCATGTACACCGATTGCGTCAGCGCCAGGCCAGTCAAGTTGTGGATGTTCAAGTTGTGAGAGTCCGGTTCCAAGTCGTGAGAGTCTGTCTGTTCAACGAGGTGTGTGCGTCTGCTCATTCAAGGTGCGTCTGCGCGGGGCCGGGATCCAATTGACGGTTTGCGCGGCGCGTGTGTGCGATTTAGTGGGAGGTGTGTGGTGTGCCTGGGAACGCCCAGACGGACGCAGCGCCCGGCCTCCCACACCCTGCACATACGACAGGGTGTGCGAGTGCGGAAGCCCGCAGGTGTGATGTCGGCGCACAAGACGGCCAAACGTGAGAGGCGTACATTGTGGCACTGTCTGGGAAGGCCTTCCATTGTCTCAGACTGTGAGGACGTGTGAGGAAGTGAGAAGCGGGCGCGTGGACCTACCCCACCGCTTGGACGCATCGACGCCGCGGCGATGCACGCGTGTGTGGGATCGCGCCGAGTCCGTTCCGGTGGCGTATTATTAAATTTAAATGTTTCGCAGCCTCGGCCGCAGGCAGAGGGGACGCGGTATTTCGCCTGGTATTTCGCAGGAATGAGCGGGACGGTGCGCATGGGGACTCGTGTGCTCGACGCGACGACAGAGCGCGAGTCTCGGCGCGACGCGGCGCGTTCCAGCACTTGGTTGAGTGTGCATAATGGATACTTGGTTCATTCTGCATAATGAGCGCTCTGACTCGGACGGACGACGGGACGGATGGGATCAGCCGCGCGGGGTCCTTGCCTCTGACGGCTGCTTCATTATCGTGAAACTTAGTAAGGAGGAAGTGTGAGAAACGGGCGCGTGGTCCGTACGGGGAAGCTGTCCATCGCTGTGCACTGGGCGGGCAGGACGGCTCGACATTTATGTAGTGTAAAACATTTATGTAGTGTAAATCTGCATTCCGGCAGCGCCAGCTGAGAAGCTGGACGACGCGGGGTGACGCGGGGGGGGGGGGGGGGGGACCTCGTCGCGCGCGGGCCATATGCATGAAGTGTGAGAAACGCACGAGCCCAAGGTCCGCGACGCCTTCCGGTGGCGCTTCATTATGGGCAACGCACTGGTGGACGACGAGACGGATGGGGCGGACGGGATCCGCAGCGCGTTTAGTTGATACTTGCTATAAAACTGCACGCAGTTGGAGATAATGCCGGAAGTGTGAGAGACGGATACATCATCCACATGGAGAAGGGACCCCATGCCTTGCTCCACCCCCAGCTCCGTCCTGTGCGTCCTATCACTGTCCGCTTGGAGGTAGACAGATCGTGCGACGCGTGACGTAGCCTCGGCGTCTTGCGCCGACGGTGGAAGGACGATGAATGATGAATGTTTCGAATTCGCGTGGGCCAGCCCGGCGACGCGTCGAGTCGGACAGATCGCGCCGACGTGCGTGGTGTTACATTGAAATATTGAGCAGCGCGGACGGCTACAGCTCTGCGGGCAAATGACGCCTGGGCCTGCGTGTTGAACTCGCGACGCGACGTCGACGCGGTAACAGCACCTTTCTACGTGGTACAGGATTTTTGACTTACCGCTACAGTTCATTATAAACAGCCCCCGACGCGTGACGTCGTCCCGGACACGGCTACTCCGTCTGTGTAGGCAAGAATAGTAGAAGCAGCAAAGACGGGGTTCGATTCCCTGCATCCCCATTACAATGCTTTCACGATGTCTTGTTTCTCCGGCGCTCGTCAAAGTCTCCCGTATATCTAGGTGCAAATGAAGGAAAGTAAAGGGGATGTGGTGTATGGTGCACCACTGCTCTCACTGCCCAAGAAAACTATGGTTGAGGCAGCGAGACGGGGTTCGACTCCCCGCGTCCCCATTCTTCTTCGAGATAAGTCTTTTTTCTCTGGCTCTCCTGAAAGTCGCGGATATATTTGAGTGTAAATGGAGGGAGGGAAAGGGACGTGATGTACGGCGCACCCCTGCTTGTCATAAGGCAGAATGAAATAGTTGAGGCAGTGAGACGGGGTTCGACTCCCCGCGTCCCCATTATTCGCGTCTTCTCTCGCTTTTTTGTGCACGGACTCCGGTGAGCTCCGCGGTATATTCAGGAGTGAATAAAGGGAAGAAGAGGGACGTGGTGTACGGTGCACGGCCCCTGCTTATATCGTGGGCACCTCTGATTTGAAGCGGCAAGACGGGTTCGACTCCCCGCGTCCCCCTTACTCTCTACCATTGTTTTTTTTTCCGCTCGAACTTAATCTAAACTCTGTGATATACTTTGAAGTAAATGAGGAGGAGAGGGGATGTGGTGTACGGTGCACCACTGCTCTCCTTGCGTCGCCGTCACTCGCCTCGATCGCAGCAGTATGTCGGGGTTCGACTCCCCGTATTCCCATGTGTCTTGTCCCTGATGTTCTTTTTCGAGGGCTCGGCGGAACAGCGTCTTTGTTCGGTTTAAGAACAAGGAAGCCAGCATCTGATTCATTCCTTTGACCCGGTAATGTGATTGAGAGCAGACGAGCAGGAATATTAATGGTTCGATTCGTATTAAGATTTGCCACGGCTGAACTGATTTTCTGCGAAGGCTCGACGTGGAGTCTGTAGTATATTCGGGGTTGAATGAAGGGAGGGAAGGGGACGTGGTGTACGGTGCACCGCTGCTCTCACTGAGGAGATGAAAAAATAGTGTTGAAGCAGCAAGACGGGGTTCGACTCCCCGTGTCCCCACTATCAGCTCTTCATCCTCGATTTTCTTCTTTCTCTGACGGACCAGAAAGTCTCGCATAAATTTTAGCTAAGACAGAGGGAATGAAAGGGACGTGGTGTACGGCGCACGGCTGCTATTGATAAAATGAGCCAAATGTTGGCAAGTAGCAGGAGGGGTTCGACTCCCCGTGTCCCCCTTACTCTTACCATTGTATTTTTTTTTCCGCTCGAACTTAGTCTAAACTCTGTGATATATGCAAGCTCAATTCCAAGAGAGGGAAGGGGATGTGGTGTATGGTGCACAGCTGCCTTGCCTGCCAGTGAGAATACATGGAAGTATGCAGCGAGACGGGGTTCGACTCCCCGCGTCCCCGTCATTTACTCTTTTTAGGGCCCGGGCTCGGGCTAGATCTGAAGTGCATTATATTTGGCTTAATCACAGGGAGATCACGGCATTTGGTTGATTTCAGTAGAGGTGATGATGTGAATTAGAGCAGGCTGCAAGGGATGGTCGATTATTCAATTATTCATTGGGTTGAATAATCTTCTTCTGTGCCGACTCAGTTCGAAGTCTGTATATATTCAGGTCGAAATGGGAGGAGATATAGGGACGTGGTGTATGGTGCACGGCTGCTCTCGCTGTCGATGTTAGGTAAAAGTTGAAGGCAGCAAGCCGGGGTTCGACTCCCCGCGTCCCCATACTTTCTATCTTCTGGATTTTTTTCTGCGGAAGTCTACACTCAGGCTGGCTCCATATCCAGATGACATGGGAAGCAGATGTTTGCGTTTCTTACAGCCCGCCGTGCCATGTAGAGCAGGCTACGATTGAACTGATTTTTCGGCGCGGACTCGATTCGAAGTCTGTAGCATATTCAGGTGGAAATGAGAGTAGAAGGAACGTGGTGTACGGTGCACCGCTGCCATTCATTAGTTGACGATAGTGTTGAAAGCAGCAAGCCGGGGTTCGATTCCCCGCGTCCCCATTCGCACGATGCCTTCATGAGCTTTTTTGGCAGGAACTCGATCCGGAGTCACTGTTAAATGGACGTGGTGTACGGTGCACCACTGCTCTCACTGCCCAAGAAAACAATGGTTGAGGCAGCGAGACGGGGTTCGACTCCCCGCGTCCCCATTCTTCTCCGAGATATCTCTTTTTTTCTCTGGCTCTCCTGAAAGTCTCGCATATCTTTGAGTGTAAGTAAGGGGAGGGAAGGGGACGTGGTGTACGGCGCACCCCTGCTTGTCATAAGGCAGAATGAAATAGTTGAGGCGGTGAGACGGGGTTTGACTCCCCGCGTCCCAATTGGTTGTTTTTCAGATCTTTTTTTTCTCTGGTGCTCTTGAAAGTCGAGGATATATTGAGGTGGAAATGAAAGGATGGAAGGCGGTGTAATGTACGGTGTAACGCTACTCTCTCTGCGATTCGTGACATCATTGAATGCAGCAAGATGGGGTTCGACTCCTGTTCGGAATCGTTTTTGGGGGTCATCGAACTGGGTTTGTGTACAGGTATCGAGGTTCAAATGAGAGGAAGAGAGGGGACATGGCGTACAGCCTACGGCTGCTCCCTCTACGATGGGAGTGTGTTGAGGCAGTAGGACGGGGTTCCACTCCCCGCGTCCCCATACGTCTTGCATATGCGTCTCTTTCTCTCCTGTTGCAGATCTATTTTGGTGCAGATGCAGGGGACGAAAGGGGGCATGGTGTACGGTGCACGGCCCCTGCTTATATAGTGGGCACCTCGGATTTGAAGCGGCAAGACGGGGTTCGACTCCCATGTTGTATTAATTCCTAACACCTTTTTTACATCTTCTTTTCTGTTGCTTTGCTCGATTATAAGAACCTTTTTTTTCGTTTCTTGCGATCGTGAATAAATCTTCTTCTTCGTCTTTTCAATACGTGGATTTCGGGCCCATGTACATTGACAACGATTGCGTCAGCGTAAGGCCAATCAAGTTGTGGATGTTCAAGTTGTGAGAGTCCGGTTCCAAGTCGTGAGAGTCTGTTCAACGAGGTGTGTGTGTCTGCTCATTCAAGGTGTGTCTGCGCGGTTCCGAGATCCAATTGACGTTTTACGCGGCGCGTGTGTGCGATTTAGTGGGAGTTGTGGTGTGCCTGGGAACGCCCAGACGGACGCAGCGCCCGGCCTCCCACACCCTGCACCTGCACATACGACAGGGTGTGCGATCGCGGAAGCCCGCAGGTGTGATGTCAGCGCACAAAACGAGAGAGGCGTACCTTGTGGCACTGTCTGGGAGGGCCTTCCACTGTCTCGGACTGTGAGGACGTGTGAGGAAGTGTGAGAAGCGGACGCGTGGACCTACCCCACCGCTTGGACGCATCGACGCCGCGGCGATGCGTGTGTGGGAGCGCGCAGAGTCCGTTCCGGTGGCGGTATGTATTATAAATGGTTCGTATTATTAAATGTTTCGCAGCCTCGGTCGCGGGCAGAGGGGACGCGGTATTTCGCCTGGTATTTCGCAGGAATGAGCGGGACGGTGCGCATGGGGACTCGTGTGCCCGACGCGACGACAGAGCGCGAGTCTCGGCGCGACGCAGCGCGTTCCAGCACTCGGTTGAGTGTGCATAATGGACACTTGGTTCATTCTGCATAATGGGCGCACTGACTCGAACGGACTACGGGACGGATGGGATCAGCAGCGCGAGGTCCTTATCTCTGGCGGCTGCTTCATTATATAGCACGAAACTTAGTAAGGGAGGAAGTGTGAGAAGCGGACGCGTGGGCCGTACGGGGAAGCTGTCCATCGCTGTGCACTGGGCGGGCGGGACGGCTCAGCATTTATGTAGTGTAAAACATTTATGTAGTGTGGATTTGCATTCCAGCAGCGCTAGCTATAGCTGAGAAGCTGGACGACGCGGGGTGACGCGGGGGGACCTCGCGCGCGGGCCGTGAAGTGTGAGAAACGCACAAGCCCAAGCGAGGTGCGCGACGCTTCCGGTGGCGCTTCATTATGCATAATGAACTCCCTTGCTTCGCTATAGAGGATGAAATGCTTCGTTATACAGAATACAATGAAACTTAGTAAGGAGGAAGTGTGAGAAGCGGGCGCGTGGTCCGTACGGGGAAGCACGCGTGGTCCGTACAGGGAAGCTGCCCCCCAGACGGACAGAGCGTGCGCCCGGGACCTCCGCGCAGCGCTTTAATTAATAATAATAAATATCAGCAGCTTCGGGATGTTTGGTGCGTTTGGTTTCAGAATGTTTGTATTTGGAGGCCGAGGGATGGTTCGAGTCGGAGCAAGGGGGTCCAAGGATAAGCATTGCCCATATGGGGTAGGGTAGGTAGGTTGGTCCCCGACCGCCGAAAAAAAAAATTGTATGCACTTTTATTTCGGCCCATTTTGAGGTCCTAATCATCCTGCGGACCTACGGGTAGCGTTTGGATGATTCTAAGACTTCCAAGGGTGTTTACACGGTGTCCTCGGCACTATCCTGTATCAACACAATGTTGGGCACAAATGTCGGGACTAAACACATGCGAGCGCGACAATTTTTCATTTGTGATCTCATGGCCCCAGAACTTGGCACAGGCAAAGGAATCCATCAGACGGATTCTTTCCGATCACATTTGTAGGGACTGACCACCTCCAGAATTTATTGGGGGAGGTCATGAGGACGGCGGTAGTTACTGGTGGAGCCACAACACAGCGGGAGTTAGGTATGTTTCCAGCTGAATGCTTCAATATTATCTAATTCTAACCCAGGGAAGTTCAACAGAGCTATATTCAGCCGTACATAGCACAGGTTGACACCGTCCAGCTAACTAGTAACATTGACTCAACGTTAGCTGGTTGAGTTGTGCTTCGCACCGGCAGAGAATAAACAGGCAGCGAAAATCAATAGGCAGAAATTCATAGATTAGTCGAGAACATGCTCGAAATCGTTGCCACAGGTGGTGGTACCGTAAGAGGAGCTCGATCGCTAAGTTGGGGCGCCTGCCGGAGATAACTGTTCCCAAAACGGGACGTTTCCCACGGTAGGTAGGTAGGTCGACCGCCCAAAGGACCAGGAAAAAAAAATTGTAGGTGATATCCTTTTTTCTTATCTTTGGACCCCCTTGAGTCGGAGTCGGTGCGGTTCATCTTGATGCGCAAGGTACGCTCGTCGTTTTCACGCTCGTTATTGTTCAAGCCCAAGCCGCGGTGTAGAGCCGTACACTCGTCGATGTAGAGCCCAGGACTCGGAATCGGAATCGGAATCGGATCACGCAGGGTGGTGTGAGAAACGGACGCATGGGCCGCATGGGGATGGTGCCCCGCGCCCCATCCCGCTCCACCCCCAGCTCCGTCCTGTATCCACTTGGAGGTAGACAGATCCGCGATCCTGGGCGTGGGCGTGCGGCCGCCTGGCCTGGGGCACTGACGTAGCCCCGCGCGAAGGAAAGCACACATTATTAATATTAATTGTTCGCGAGGGCCGGACGCGACGCGACGAGGAGTCGGTGCACGGAACTACGCGACGCGACGCGATGGCAGATCGTGCGCGTGGGATCGTGCAGCGCGTCGCGTCGACGCGACGCGTGACGTAGGCCGGCGTCTCACGGTGACAAGTGAAAGAATAATGAATGAATGATAAAATGATAAAATGATTCAATGAATGGATGTTTTGTCAATGAATGGATGTATCGAATTCGCGTGGTCCCGCCCAACCTCGACGGCAACGCGATGCCGAGATCGACGCGACACGCTATTAAATATTACGCACGGCAGATGGGACCTGGGGCTGAAGTTGGCTTGTCGCGTCGCGGTACAGCACTTATCTACGCGAGACAGCACTTTTGTATTCCTTCTCTACGCGATACAGGACTTGACCTTTACACTTCATCTGCGAATCCTTGTAAGTACCTGTGTAGATTACGTAGGACGGCGTCTCACGGTGACAACTGAATGACTGCATGTTTCGGGGTCGCGTGGGCCACCGACGCGATGGCAGATTGCTATTTAATATTCAGCAGCCCGGACAGCTACAGCTATGTGGGCAGATGGGACCTGATTCATGGGGACACGCGACGCAACGCGTCGTACAGAACTTATCTACGCGGTACAGGATTTTTGATTGTACTTTGCTTTACAGTTCATTATAGATTTCAGCCCCGTATGGTGACCTAACACGCAGACGCCGACGTCGTGCAGCAGCGGGGCGTTCCAGCCGAGACGCGTCGAGGTGGACAGGTCGGGAGCGACGCGGTCCGACAGCTTTTATTGTGCATTCCATCAATTATACGGCGCGTCAACAGGGCACGCCGCGTCGTGTAAAATTAATTGGGGACGGGGCTGTGCACTGGGTCTTCCAACGGCGAGAGATGGGGACTGGGGGAGGGAATCAACCCGTTGCTAAGGGGCCTGCAGACATA